TGTGGGGATGGTGGTGTTTGTCCTGTGGTGCAGGCTGGTAGAGAACTAATTTGCTGAAGCTGCTTCAAGTGTAATATTGACTAGTGATATTATAATCCCATAGATCTATCAAAATACCCCTCCTTATCAAAGTTGACCACTCCTGTCTTAGAAGTTCAGTATACAGGAGCAAAACCACTCAATACAGGATCAAAAATATCTCTAGGTCCCTCTTAAATTACAGCTGTACTTTAAGAAAACTAAACATTCCTCACAAGTCTGGTTTATCCCACTATGGATCTGTAGGTCCAAATCTTAGTGAACCATCTTATCATTCTTCCACCATCAGACCCATTGCAATTTTATATTGAGGCCTATTTTTTTTAAATGTCTTTGGAATTTATCACACAGGGGAAATACCATGCAGAAACGGGGTTTTAAATTGGAAAAAAAAACCCACAAAATTTTCAGACGACGTCACTGTTAAAATGGGGTTAACCTGAACGGAAAAGGGGTTAACCCAAACGGAAAGAAACTGCTTCTTTTTACTTTCGAAAAATCCCAAAAGTAAAAAGAAAGCAGTTTTTGACTACTTTCCGTTCAGGTTAACCCCATTTTAACAGCAATGTGTGTGAAAATCTGCCCGCTTTTGCGGGTTCCCCCCACCTTTTAAATCCCGTTTCTGCACGGGATTTGCCACGTATGATAAACTTATTTGTTTAAATACCTGTTTTCCATGTTTTCATAACAGATTCCTGAGGAGAGGATTCTTCTTCCTGCCTTTTTATAAAACTGTAATTGAAAAAAACTGAAGTCTTGTGTTAATTTTCTTAATGATTCAGAAAAAGGTATTAATGATTTTACTGCCTTCTCAATTATCTCTTTCTAAGTTTAACTAAAGCTGAATATACAAATATGACTAAGGAGCCAGCTGTAAAGATGCCTGCTCATAAGGAAGCATGTTAATTTAGGAGAAAGTTGATAAGGTTGGATAGGACATGAGTTTTGTAAAACAACACAGTATGGGGAAAGCAGAGGGGGAAAAAATTACACCACAAATACTAGAATTCATAGAGTCATAGAACTGGAGGAGACCACAAGGGCCATCCAGTCCAGCCTCCTGCCATGCAGGAACACATAGTCAAAGCCAGGGGTAGGCAACCTAAGGCCCGGGGGCCGGATACGGCCCAGCAAGGCCTTTGGACCGGCCCCAAACCGGTCCTGCCGACGCCGCCCCCACCGCCGACGCCATCACTCTCCAAGGCAGCATGTTAGACTGTCAAAACAGTTCTTACCTTCAGGAAGTTCTTCCTAATGTTTAGGTGAAATCTCTTTTCCTGTAGCTTGACTCTATTGCTCCGTGTCCTGATCTCTAGAGCAACAGAAAACAAACTTGCTCCATAATTTGAGGCTGCCCAATGAAACTGCCCAATGACAGAAGATAGTTCTGTAAACAATTCACAATTTATTTATGAAATCTGCTGCCACAAAAGAAAAGGAAGTACTTCTCCACATACTGCATTAATTTAATTGTGGAATTCAGTGACACAAGATATAGTAAGCCTGCAAAGATGACTAGCTTGAACATAGATTAGAGAAATTCATGAAAGTTAGGGTCATCGGTGGATCCTAGTGGGGTTAGCTGTGTGTCTTCTCCTGTAACAAAGAACATATGTCTCTGTGGATTGATTGCTGTGATATATGAGGTGAAAGTTGCAATTGTATTCATGCATTCATGATACTGTATGGGCAGAATGATGGACAAAAAAAAATGTGATCTGATTCATCATGTCTCTTATTATGTTCTTATTTCCTTAAAGATGTAGTTAGGAACACTAGCTTAGCTAACGTTCAGAGCGCTTTCATGGAAGAGAGATCTTATCTGTGGTAACTTGCCACAGTGCCTCCATCTTTAGTTGTTGTTGTTGTGCGCCTTCATTTCCGACTTATGGTGACCCTAAGGGAGACCTATCATGGGTTTTTTTGGCAAGATTTGTTCAGAGGAGGTTTGCCATTGCCTTCCCCTGAGGCTGAGAGCATGTGACTTGCCCAAGGTCACCTATTGGGTCGCCATGACCAAACTGGGAATCAATCCCTGGTTTCCAGAGTCATAGTCCAACACTAAAACCACTATGCCACACTGGCTCTCACTGATTTGTTTGATGAGGAACAAACACAAGAGAAGACAATTACTTTCACCTCCTGCTAGTGGGCTTACCAGAGGGATCTGTTAGACCAGGGGTCGGCAAGTTCCCCTTACCAGGGGCCGGGCTGGGGATCCCCTGGTCTTCCATGGGCCGATAGTGGTGGTGGGAAATGGCAGCATATGCACACTTGCTCGCGCATGCACAATATTTCCCGAGTACTGCGCATGTACTCGTGAGCGAGTCGCGGCCGCCATTTTGGAAAACAAAATGGCAGCTGTGACTCGCTCGCACATGTGCAGGAGTACTGCGCATGCACAAACAAGTCACGGCTGCCATTTTGGAAAACAATGCAGGGTTCAGCGAGGGCCGGTCCAAAGGCCTTGGGGGGGCCGGACCCAGCCCACGGGCCATAGGTTGCCAACCCCTGTGTTAGACTGTTAGACTCACAGAATCATAGAATTGGAAGAGATCATAAGGGCCTTCCAGTCCACCCCCCTTGCCATACAGGACAACATAATCAAAGCACTCCCATCAGATGGCTACCCAGCCTCTGCTTAAAAGTCTCCTAAGAAGCAAACTCTACCACTCTCCAAGGCAGCGTGATCCACTGTTGAACAGCTCTTATTGTCAGGAAGTTCTTGCTAATGTTGAAGTGGAATCTCTTTTCCTGTAGTTTGCATCCATTGCACCATGCACTCTGGAGCAGCAGAAACCAAGCTTGCTCCATCAATATGACATCCCTTCAAATATTTAAAAATGGCTATCATGTCACCCCTTAACCTTTTCTTCTCTAGGCTAGACATACCCAGCTTCCTAAGCTGCTTCTCATAGGGCAGTGATGGTGAACCTTTTCGAGACCAAGTGCCCAAACTGCAACCCCAAACCCACTTATTTATTGCAAAGTGCCACACCCTTCTGGTTTTCTAGTAATGAACTCTGGTGAACTGGTGCTGGGATGACAGAGGGCTCTGAGTGCCACCTCTGACGTGTGCCATAGGTTCGCCACCACTGTCATGGGGCATGGTTTCCAGACCTTTCACCATTTTGGTTGCCTTCTACTGGACATCCCTTTTGAATTGTGGTGACCAGAATTGGACACAGCATTCCAGATGAGGTCTGACCAAAGCAGAACAGAGTGGTACTATTCTTTTGTGGACTGAATGAACCTTTGGTGTGTCTTTTCTTTTCTTTTCTTTTTTGTGGAAGAAAAGCTCATAATTTTTTTTAAAAATCTTTCCAATTTATTTTCCTTCTTTTAAAAACAAATCAGTGACAGTTGAATAGACCCCAGACTGCACCTGGGAGTTCTTGTTAAGTATGGTTTCTGCTTCACTCCACATTTTCCTGCAGGCTTACCACTTTTGTTATGTACACTTGGATTCTTCAAAGATTAGGATAAAGGCAGGTGAACTCTTTCCAGAGCAAGGTCTGACTTGCCAGAAAAGCTGGGAATTTCAGAGGGTTTGCTCTAAAATCAATAGTAAGCCACATGTTACTTCTCCTGTTGTGTCTCTGGGACTTGTCTGGTTGTTGTGGGCAACCAGATTGTTGTGTATGGTAATAATTGGATGCTTTTTGTCTGTCTGAAAAGGATTCAGTCTAGCAAACATGTCCCCTTTTAGCCATTATCACTAGCATCATGAAGGCCTGGGCTTTCAAAGTTGGAGGACAGTTGCTGTAGTAAAAGACAGAGTGAAGCTAAAAAAAACAAACAAGGAACACTTTGTGAACATTTTTGCAGGTATCTCAGTTATACTACCCTCCCTTTTTCTTAATTGTATGTATTTTAATTAAAGGGTATGAAACAGATTGCGGGGGGGGGATGTTGGAGAAGAGGGCATGTGTTCCTGTTGCTAAGAAAACAATGTCTCTGGGTCTTTATACTGGGATCTAGTAATGGAATGCAAATTAAGAGGAAGGACTTCTGGTGCTATGTTAGTTTCAGTGGAATGCACATCTGCCCTAAATTTATTTTTGTTTGTTTGTTTGTTTGTTTGTTTTTATCCCACCTTTCTCCCAAAGTTGGACCCAAGGCAGCTAACTACATATATAAAACACATTAAAACAACTATTAAAATACTACAATTAAAACTGTAAAAATATAAACATTATAAATATAAAATTTGAAACAGATTTAAAAGTAATAATAATCTAAAACTAATCTCCCCATCACTTTGCCGCAGCAAAGTGGACAAGAGATGGAGAAGTGCCTGCTAAAGACTGAAAGTATGTGTCATTGTTTTTTCATGGACACCTTCTTGCACTGTGACTGTGAGCCTCCATAGCACACACAAAAAAGCTTCATAGAAATTCACAATAGTATTAGTTAGTGAGCCAGTGTGGTTTAGTGGTTTGAGTATTGGACTACAACTCTGGAAACCAGAGTTGAATCCCTGCTCAGCCATGGAAACCTTGGGCAAGTCACACTCTCTCAGCCTCAGGGGAAAGCAATGGCAATCCTCCTCTGAATACATCTTGCCAAGAAATCTCTATGATAGGTTTACCTTAGAGTCTTCATAAGTCAGAAATGACTTGAACGCACATAGCAGCAGCAACAACAACAATAGTAGTGAAATCTGGTCTGGTCTTCTCCTGTAGCAAACTAGTGTTCCTCCAAAGTGGAGTCAAGGCAGTCACAAGATTAAATAACAAAGTTATCATTTTGGATGTTGGGAAAAAATTAGGAAGATTATTATATTAAAACAACAACTGGTAATTTTAAAAGCACATCAAATAAAAGCAGGACAGCACCCCACCTGTTTAAACACCATCCTTGGCCTTTCAGATGTCAAAAGCCTATCTGATTTAAAAGTCTTTCCCAATGGAAGGACAACAGGACAAGGGCCAGCCTAACTTTCTTTGGAAGGAATGCTGCTGAGGAAACTCAAATCTACGAAAACTAATGCTACCACCTTCTTTCTTTCAGTTAATCTCAAAGGAAAGGTCTACAAGATCTCTTTGCATACTGATTTTCCGGACTAACATGGCTATGTCTTTGAATTCCTTTGGAAGGGAGTTACACAGTCTAGAAGAAATCACTTTGAAGGATCTGTTGCATATCCCCCAAATGTGCTTATGAGAATGATGGGACTGAGAGAAAGGCCTCTCCTGAAGATCTCAGAGTCAGGCTCGGCTCATATGGGAGAATATGATCCTTTAGGTAACCTAAATCCAAGCCTTATAGAGTGGTATAACTCACAACCAGTACCTTGGAATGGACTGGTAGTCAGTGAAGCTGTAACAACAAGGGACTTGTGTGCTCCTTGTAACCAGTCCCAGTTGACATTCTGGCTGCTGCATTTTGGACCCCCTAAGTTTCCAGAGAGCCAGTATGGTGAGCCACTATAGTGTAGTGATTTGAAAAAGTCATATAATCATAGAGTCGGAAGAGACCTCAAGGGCCATTAAGTCCAACCCCCTGCCATGCACGAACACAGAATCAAAGCACTGCCCACAATCAAAGCATCCCCTCCAGCCTCTGTTTAAAAACCTCCAAACTCTCTCAGCCTTAGAAGAAGGCAGTGACAAATCCCCTCTGAATAAATCCTGCCGAGGAAGCCCTTTGGTGGGGTTTAGACTATTCAGTCACCTTGAAGGCACATAACAACAACAGACAGAAAGTTTCCAAATACTTACCAAATGTCATCCCATGTAGAATGTGTTAACATAATCCAAATACTTTAAAAATATTTATGGTATGTGAAGAAACAGACATATGTTTCTTTGCAATCCTGCTTTTAGTATTTGCAACCTTTTGGAAATCCACACGAAAACAGAATCATGCTGAGTAGCAAGTCATCACAAAAATCCCAGTTGAAAAGGAAATTTGAATTTTGGTCAACAGTATGTAAGAGTTGACTGTGAGGTCATTTATTATTGTCTTTACAACATCATCTGCAAAATCAGAAGAGTCTGGAATGTTACTTTTCAAAAAGACCCAAGTTCCTTTATTCACTGTTCTCATCATCCAACAGGTTGTTATTTATTATTCTTTATTTTATTAAAATATTTATATCATATCATATATCAGAATCCTAGGGTAGCATACACATAAATTTAGTTTAAAGAATTTAAAACAATTTAAGCAAGAAAGAATAATTTAAACAATGTAAAAACATATTAAACAATTTGACAAGTTGAAACATTTTAAAACCATGCAAATTTACAATCCAAATGTATATTTGGATGAAATCAGGTCTCCCCAAAGGCTTTAAAATAAAAGGCTATGGTTTAACTTGGCAGCGAAGCCATCAAAGGAGATCCTCTCCTACATATTAAGCCTTGTGATAGAATAATGTGGCATCCCATACCTTAATAGCCATGGAGCTCAGCAGGAATCCCCCAGTGCCACTCTGGCACTGGTCTTATAGAAAGGAGCAGAATCAGCATAACACGTCTTGTACTCCCATTCTGCAGAGCTGGTCCAGCAAGGTACCTGATCAAAGCTGGTGAGATCCAGGAGAATCAGCAGGATAATATTCCCCTTATCTTTCACCAACAGTAGGTTGTTGGTCAGGACAACTCAAACTGTTTCATAAAGGGGGGAAGCAGACGAGGGCGTCCGGGATGCCGCGGGACTGTGCGCCGCAGGACTGCGGCATCCGCACCGCGGCACACCGTCGGCACCTCTGAAAGGAGCACTAAATCAGCGCTTCTTTCAGAAGTCAGTGAAAGTGCTCCCTAAAAGCGTAGGGCGCACTTTCACTGACTTATCCGCCGCAGCGTGTGCAGACGCTGCGGTGGGAGGTTGCCCTCGGAGCTCCGGCCGTGCGGAGGGCCAGCAGCTCTGAGGGCAACCTCGGGAGGAGGAAGGGGCGCCGATCGTGTGGCTGCCCCTCCTCTTCCCTGCCTCCAAAACGGCCCAATTAGCCGTCTGCCGAGGCCCTAACGCAACTTGGCCTGAAACCAGATTTTTATGGGTCAAATGAAATTGTTTTCTCCAAGAACATCTGCAATTGTGCAACCACTACATACTCAAACATCTTGGCCCAAAAGGTGAAATTAGCAATTGGATGGTCGTTCTTGTATATGTGTGTATCCATAGAGATCCTCTTCAGGTGAGAGCACACTATAGCTTCCCATACAGCAGGCATTTCCCTTGATAGAGTGAAGCATTTACAAACTGAACCTGGATGTTTGCATATGTGATGCTGATTGTTCAAAAAGTTACACAGCAGATGCTTGGCTTTAAATAAACAAGGCTGATAAGGAGCCCTGGTGGCAGAGTGGTTAAGTGCCAGTGCTGCAGCCCCAACATTGTGAGTTCTATCCTGAGGGGCTCCAAGGTCGACTCAGCCTTCCATTCTTTTGAAGGTTGGTAAAATGAGTACTCAGCTTGTTGGGGGCAAATTGGCTTACACATTGTAAATTGCTTAGAGACTGCTTAGTTCAGTATGAAGCAGTATAGAAATGTAAATGCTATTGCTAAATGCTATTGATATTTTTCAGTGCTAAGCAGGAAATGTACATTTTGGAAAGCGATGTATTAGCCTACATCTCTTGTTTATAGAAATGACCCAGAACAAACAATATTTGATACATGTTTTTCCCTCTAGCACATTTTCAGCAGAAGCAGCAGTGTATGCCATCTTCAGTGGCATTTTCAGTCGGCATGATCTTTGACCATTCATGCTCTAAGGCTAGAATGATTAATAACGGTCGGGAAAAGTTGCTCAAATTGAACAACTAATCTGCTTTCTGATCCTAGGGGCTGTTAACTGTTCCATGTATCTTAAGCGTGACAAGGTTCTGTGTGTATCCACATTAGACTAAGGGAACATGATGGCCAGCACTGTAGTGTGCTTGCAGAGGAGCCATAACTCACTGGTGGACACATGCTTCTCAAGTGGAAAGTCTCTGGTTCAGTTTCTGGAATTTACACAACATTTTGGATCAGAGCTTCAGGATTAAGTAGTTTGTGACGAAGAAGGTCTCTGCTGACACTTTGGAGTGTTGATACCAAACAGAGTACTAGAGTACATTAGGTTAGATGGACTAAAGATGTGAGTCAGCGTTAGGCATAATGGTAGCTAGGAACTTGAGAATATGTTTTTTAGATGGTGAGAGGGAGCAGGAAAGCCTGGTGGTCTTGACTGGAGAGGCGTAGCTGAGTGGTTAGAAGCTATAGATTGACAGTTGAGTGTGTGGAGTTCTGTGGCTGGGGAGTTAGCTTTATAATTTCATATTCCTGGGACATGCTTTAAAATTTCTCTTCTTTTTGCTTTGAACTAAGAATATTATACCCAGTTTCTCTTTGCATCTTTTAATACTCTGCTGCAAAGTTTTTATACAGGTATAAGATAGGTCTGTGCAGCATCTGTCTGAAAGCAGCCCAACAGTCGCAAGTACCTTGACCCCACCAAGTGCTTGCTGTTTGCTGTCTGCCTAGGAATTCAGAAACATGGCTGTGTGGTCCTTAGAGGATGGCCGATGGGCTGTTGCTTGATTAACTGGCAAATAGTGCAGACAAATAGACCAATAGTCCAGATTTGTCATGGGACAAAGTTGGTTGATAAGACAATGGGCTTTGGGCCTGCCAACTGAGAGTTATTGTTATGCATCCTTAGTAGGCTACTTTTTTGTATTTCCTTACAATTCAGATCAGAGCCAGGTAAAGTTAACATTTTGGATCAGAGCTTCAGGAATCCATCAACCAGGTTGGTAACATAGGCCTCCCTGTCAAGAGGCCTACACATAAAGATTGTGTTAGATTCTGGAAAGATAAAAGTCTGTTCATTTCAATATATTCAGAACCATAATAACATTCTTCATATGTTCAGCATACAAAATTGGGGTTTCCTAAGCACACAGTGTGGTTTGTTGCTGGCACTGAGTTCATCTAGTCCTGCCAGAATGGTTCATCTGTGCCAAGCATTTTAGGTTTCAGATGAATATGTAGCAATATTGAGGATTGTTTTTCTGGTGAGGGGAAAAAGCTTGTTCTTTCAAAGTCTTTGTACGTTGTCTATAGTTGTAAGCACAGACTCAAGACTGCAAACACAGACCAGTGTTCTGGCTTCATCATTGCTTCACTGTTGTCGCTACAAACTGTTTGCTGAAGCTGCAGCTTAATCCTCCTTCAGTCCCTCACAAAGACTGCATCTACCCAGGCTCAGTGAAAACTCAGGTCCTGGCCAGCTTCCAGCCTGGCCTTTCAAGGCTTTGTGTAACTGAATGCATTGCCAGCCAACCTGGGTTTGAAATTCTTCTGAAAACACACTACAAACATTTGTTTGCCTTTGTCCACACTGCATATTCTGTGCAGTAGTCAGCAAGCAGTAGGCTTAATTATGATCTGTGGTTCCTTTGATTTTGAAATCTTGAAGAGAATGGATCAAGCTGGTACCATATATTGCTTCATCTTCAACATTACTTCAACAATACTTTAATAGTGGCTGCTGGTGG